TATATACACTCTGTCACATTTTTAAGTATACACATTTTGAAGCTCAATAAAACAAAATCTAAGCAAACAATTACTTTCAAATTTACACACTGATTACGTGATAGTCCTGTCGCTGGTGAGCTGTTTTCAGATTTCAGAACGCGCGAGTGGTTCTGTAACTGCATGCGTGTTACATGTTTCGTGTTTTTTTAAGATTTAATCATAATACGGCAATGATTTGTTTAAAAAAGAAGCACCCATCAAAGCTTTGTCATTTTTGTAACAATTCGCCAGTGACAAAATTTATTTTGTCTCCGTTTCATGATGTCACGCCCTACGAGAAAATGTGCGAAATCAGCTTGTTGGAATGATCCGCGGGGGTGCCTTAGTATCCACTGTTGTGAGACATTTTAATGTAACACAAAGAACTACTGTGTACATAACAATGGATCGAGAGAAAACAACAAAATCAGGAAAGGATCAACACTGCCAACGTGGGAAAAGAAAAACTACTCCATGCGAGGATCTTTTAATACGCCTGTCGCATCTATGGAATCGTTTCAAAACGGCAAGAAGAACATGCGACAACCCCAGCCTTAGACACTTCCTCTACTTGAGAGAGCATCGCATGCAGAGTGGAATAACATCCCTCAACAGGAAGTGTAGCGATAGATTGATTTAAGGCGGCGACGATGTCAGGCCGTCATCAAAGCTACTGATCGTGTTACTTTTGTAGACTACCCCCCACACTCTTGTAAGTCATGAATAAACCTGTTATGTTAACATTCCGTATTTTTGTTGCTTTTTTCGTTTTTAAAATTGATTAAATTCGTATTCCTGAAATTTTAAAGAATATCGACTAATTGTGAAACTAGCTATTTTCATTTTAACACCGTGTATACTTTATAATAATATCTTTATATATATATAAGATAAGATAAGATAAGATAGATTATCCCAGAGGGAAATTTTTCTTGGCTGTACAGGACCGTAAAAACACATGCATAAAAATAAAACAAAAAACTAATAATTTAAATTGTATATACATTACTCTCATTAAAATTCAACTTGAAAAGAGAAGCAAAGCTGAGAAAATGTACATTTACATCAAATGCATCATTCAACTACATGCAGGAATTTAAATACAAGACTTTTGGAGTAATAATATATAGATACATACTCTAAGAGCAACACACATATATGCTCATTCTGACAACAGCCTTATACTAGGGTAAAAAACTTCTTTTATATCTTTCTTTCTTTGTTTTTGGAGGTACATATCTGCCGCTGTGTGATCTTACAATTTGTGTGGAATGCTTTTTATCTTTTTTATACGTGTGGTGTTTGGGAAGTACTAAGATTTAGTATTGGGCCCTCATACCCAACCCAGCGCGTCCCCGGGTGGTGGATAGGGGAAAGGCCTCCAGATATGAAGGTTTGCTGCTGAGCAGTCGCGAACCAAATAGGAGATGGTCGTAGAGAGTAGAGGGGAACCCTGGTGGCACATCATCAATCATCATCAATGCCTTTTACCCCTGGAAGGGCATAGACCACATATAAGCTCCTTCCATTTATCTCTGTCCTGAGCCATCCTTCCAAAGCTCGTTCCAAGTGAGCTTCATTTCTCTCATGTCCCTTTCCACGCATCTCCTCCATGTTTCCCGTGGCCTACCCCTGGCTCGTGCTCCTTGTGGGTTCCACTGCAGTGACTGTCTT